AGAGAGAGAGAGAGAGAGAGAGAGAGAGAGAGAGAGAGAGAGAGAGAGAGAGAGAGAGAGAGAGAGAGAGAACTCCGGCTGACAAAAGAAGCGCCATTGTGTCACCTTCATCTTGGTCTTTCCATCCTGTGCAAAACAAGGATGTGCCAACCCAGCTAATTCTTGCAAGTTAGCTGCCCTTTGTTAAGGTGCACACTGTGTGAACTTTTACATCAAACTATCACTGGCACAGTTTGTGACTCTTTTTTCTATATGGGTTGTGTGGGATGGTGGGCGGTGCTTGAGTGAGTTTGTCCGACAGGAGGGCGGACGCGCCGAGCCCACCCTACCTGCCGGCGAAGTGAGCCCACCCACGACGAAGGAGACACTCAAGGACAGCTCTCAGCCTCGACCAACACAGAGGAGGGAGTACAGCCCTGGATCAGTGCTTCCCTGATTGCTGTGCCGGGGCTCTCCATGATCAAATTCAGATGCGGCTGCTGGGATCCTTCTTGGGTGACCTGCCGGGAGGCAGCTCCTGCACCAATGTTGCCTGTCGTCACCAGGGCCGCTAGCTGGTGCCTGCTAGGAAAGTAGAATGCCCCTCGCGCCTCCCCCAACTCTTCCGCACGGAGCCTGCCTCCTCCCCAGATGCAGCCCCCTTAAGACCCGCAGCACAACCTGGAGGGCGCAAGTAGCCATGTCGGGCTATGCCTTCCAGCTCGAGAGCAGGGAGCAGAGTCCAGTGTGGTAGCCTAGTGGCTGGATGACCCTGGATCCCACCTTCGGATCTGTTTTGGTATCCCCACCTGCATCAGATCGGCATGGTGCTCCACCACTGAGCATCAGACTACTTGCAAACCCGGTGGACCACTGGCCTGCATTGGTCACGCCTTCCGAGAGAGTGACCTCATCGCAGGTCCAGAGATTCGAGTGTGCGACCTCATACCACAATGTGCATCGCTGGTGCTCTACCCACGGAGCTAAGGCCGCAGTCAGCTATGCAACATTAGGAGCTGACCTTGGTGCAGATGAAGATGATGTGAATGCCAATCTGAACAACCTGAAGTGATGTGAAGGTCATGATTGGGAAGAAGGCCTGTTTCAACTACGGATGCATTTTTTGAAAACCAGGGGCACAAGTACATTGTATGAAATGCGCTTGTGGCACCGAAGAGGCATGCAACATCAATGACATAGTTTTCAAGTGCACGACTATGATAGGTGGTGTTTCTCACATGTCTATACAGTGTATACACTCAAGACATGTGCTGTTGACCATCAAGTGTCCACTCCATCAATCTGATCTTGGTTCTCTTTGTGAATGTGTTGTGCTCAGAAAAGGGACATGAGCAAGAAGAGGAAAGCAGAACAGGAGAACCTCAATAAGAAGAGCAGCAAGGACAAAAAGGTGAACAATCCTTTTGCTTCTTACTGCCCTTTGGTTTCTCTTCTTGTGTTACAGTGCCAAGCACATTCACATGCTGCTGTGCTTAAAGGTGGTAACTTTCTCGAAGGATGGGTCTGTCACCGCTTTCCCTGTGTTCCTTCCTTCTGCTCATCCTCCCTTCTTTCCTTCCTTCTTTTCTTGTTTTTCCTTTCCTTCCTATTTTCCTCC